CGTTGGGAGGCTACCTTGAGCAAGACTATGGCCATTCAACGACCCTCCATGTCAGTAACAACAACCATAAGTCCCATTTGACATAGTTTTGTCAAATAGAATAGGAGCTGCTCAAGTTACCTTCCGATCATCTGTTCATTGCATCTAGAAGGGTGTGGAGAGCTGAGGACTAAGATGATCGTCAGCCTTTGTGGAAAGGTCGAGTATCTGTTGCCTGAACAACGCACTCTGGTTGTGTAATTTCTTCAACTGAGTGTCCAGTTTCATCGCCTGATCACCAACATGGCGTAAACTTCCAATGACAACATTTTATCGTCGATCCAGAAACCAGAAAAGTGGCCAGACCACCATTTTTCGGGATTCTGACCGACTATCACTTAAAATGACATGTTGGAGATCATTTTCATGGTCGATTCAGTTAGACCTGATCCAACATGCCGATCCGATAGTGATTTAGCAACCTTTGTTGTATTATGTTTTTTTCCCCTAGTAGAACTTATCCCATTTATATGAAAGTCAATTACTGGATAGTCACTTAACTCTTGGGATGACAATTTGAACCCGTCCCTCCGAGTATTACCCGCCTCGTTGTAGCGTGGGGCAGTGCATGTGTATCCACTTCCGACCCGCCCTTCCATGTCCCGCCGCGTTATTGGTCAATTCTATCTCAATTTCTTATAATATCTATTCATATTTATCATATTTTGGTTTTTCTTCAATTAGTTAGACTCAATTACTCATTCTATTATCACTATTTTTCATTTATATAGTGTTTTCCCTTTGTTTTACTGTACAAAGTAAATTTTATATATATTATTTTTCAAATAACATGTAAGAGTGAGATGATCCTCCCGCCACGTACCAGCGCGGGTATTACCTGCCCCGACGCAAGTTTGATGCGGGGTAAGAATGCGTATTGAGATACCCGCACCCGGCACCACCCCACCCCACCCGTTTGACTTAACTGCAATAACAACATCCTAACCATTACAAAATATAAGGAAGAAGTCCGCTAAAAAACATGGTTGTCAAAATGGTTTATAATGTTATGCCGGTTTAGTAAGTGGTATAGTCTGGCTAGTGGTACAAACAGTTAACCCAATTAGAGTCTATTTTAGCAAAATATGTAGGAAAGTGAGAAATTATTAACACTAAATAAATTTTGGCATATTTATAATATATTTGAAGTCAATCTCTCTAAAACAAATATTGATATTTAAATAAAATACACCATTTCAAACAAAATAAAGATCTTTATATTTAAATACAACATTTAACAGCAACTTTCAGAAGTTTATACTTAAATCGAACAAATAGCTAAACATTTAAAGATTCATATTTGAATCCGACAAATAATATCAAGTTAACACGAACAAGAGCTTAGTCAAATAATAATACCACTAACCTAAAATTTGGAGTTCCATATTCAAATCCTTTTAAATAGTATCTTACTTACAAACAAGAAGCCTATATCACCCTTGTATATGATATCTCTCAACGGCAGGCGGCAGAACAGTATAAGTGGAGTTTTGAACCCTTCTCGAATTGCAGCCTAGTTATTCTGCTAACTGCATAAGTTGTTAGTATATACTAACTAATATCCAAAATGTATGAACATGTATCCAAGTTTGCTGAGTATCTAGATAGCACAGACTAGTATTCAAAACATCACAAACTAGTATCCAGATAACAGATACCAACTAATATCCACAATCAACCAACTAGTATTCAATATTGATACTCTTATGGGGTCGTTTGGATCAATGATTTTAATATGAGAAATTTATGAGAGATTTTTATCCAAATCACTCACTTAAAAACCCAGGAATTTTAAATGAGTTATTTGAACCAATTCATTCGTTTGTTTAAACATGAGGAATTTGTACCCCAATTGTGCAAAGTCTAATTTGACCTCATCCCCTTCCTCTCCCTCCTTCGATGCAAAGGTAAAAACCAGCCGACAGATCGGCCAAATACGACGACCTAGCTAAACCAGCGACCTTGCAACCCAGAACTCTGATTCTTCTACCTCGTCTGCAGAACTCTGACGTTGATTCCCTTATCCCCTTTGAAACCCAGAAACAAACGAATACACCTTAAATTCCCAAGCCAGTTTTGAAGAGAGATTGAAACCTGCCTGCCACCATTCACCATCCTTCGCTTCTGCAATTCGCTGCGACAGCAACAACAACAGCATGGAAACAACGAGAACATGCCGCAATCGCAAACCCAGACTCCACCACCGCCAAATCGATCTCTAGTTGCGATTTCCAGATCTGATCAAAATCGAACCCGTCCTTCACGGAGCCAGAGCGTCGGCGCAAGTAGTCAATCAATGGCAGAACTTAGAGCCCGCCGGCACTTCTGACGAGGTGAGAATTCGATGCCCGGCGGTCCTTCCTCCACCTTCACTCGTAATCTCCGGCGGCGATACTTGCCGATGAGCATGAATCGTCGAAACCCAAAAATCAGAACCCTAAATCCGACTCTAGTTCTTCGACCTCAGCCACCATTGTCGTCACCATTGATACTTTTGTTCTGGGCTTGTGGCTGACGGAGGGTTTTGGGTTTGTTAACTTTTGGGGCTGGGATGGGACGTGGAAATTGCCGGAAGAGAGGTAAGCAAAGAACACGATGGTTGCTGTGGAAGAGACGGGAGGACAGATTTGGGATAAGCAAAAATAAAACAAGTGATTTCAAAATAGCTGCTCATGATCAGCTATTTGCAAATCCGGCATGAGCAGGTTTTCAAAATCCGGAATGGTTAAAATCACTAATTTTTTTATCACTTTCCAAACGAGTTAATTAGTCTAAATCCGGGATGATGAGGGAATGTGTTAAAATCCCTGATCAAAAACCCTTATCCAAACGACCCCTATGTGTTATTTGGATACTTTTATGTGTTATGTGGATACTAATTATGTCTTGTATGGATACTATCCTGTGTTGTCTAGATATTTGTTTGTGAATTTGAGATAATAGTTGATTCGTGGTGGATATCAATTAACAAACTTTGAATACTAGTATGTGATCTCTAGATACTTTAGTACTTGAATACTAGTTCATGTATTTTAGATATCAGTTAGTATCTGCTAACGAATTTTCAAGTTAGCAGATTAACTTTTCCCCTCGAAGGCGAGAAAAAGAAATCTTCTTTTCGGGTAAAAGGATTTTGTTGTTCCAAATGAGCTCAACTCCCGAATCCCCGGTTCCCTTGCCCTTACACAATCGAAATTGCATCCTTGAAATGCTCAGCGGACTCCTTCGCTAGTCAATTTGGCTTTGGAAGTTTTCATAAATTGCGCGAGATCTCCATCTGCTATCTTTTCTTGTCTTAATTTCATAGCAAGGAGTATGGTTTATGTGCGTACAAGCTTGGAGATTTGGTCATGGAATTCCTGAGAAGTGGTACGGAGGAGCTTTTTTACTTTGGTTAATTAGTGTACTTGGGTTTACTTTATGTGATCAGGTTTGTTAGCAGAGGAGATTTTGTTATGCGAATGTGGATTTTGAGGATCGAGGTTTGGAAGTTCTGCCAAGGAAATCTGAGGGTGTCCTTGCCTTCCTGTGGGGAGAACCTCATTGTATGCTGGGAATCGGGAAGCAGGGATAAGTAGGGAGAAGAGAAACCAAAATATGCAAACAGCTTGTCATCTCGGTCCGATTTTTCATTTCTCCAATCGGTACTCCTTGTTTTGTTAGAGTTGAATTATTTTTTGGTACTGTATAGTGGGTTGAAATGTGGAGATTTTGGGGTGGTTGGTTTGCAGAAGGGTTGTTGTAAAGCAAAATGGGTGTATAAAAGTTGGCATCTTGAAATGTAGCAATCTGCGGTTTACCAGATTTGATGCAGTATCCGAAGCAAACGATGGGCTTCTTCTCTCTGTCTCTATGGTGGAAGAAGGTGAAAACACAAATCACGCCCCAACTAAGGAAGAAGTACTGCCTCCATTCTACAAATGGTCCCCCTCCTGGATATCTTTGGAGGGGATAGGGATGGCAACAAAACCCGAACCCATGGGTACCCACCCGACCCAACCCGGTCAACGCGGGTAAAATCCGTGTTGACGGGTTTTGGGCCGGGTTTGGGTTTAAACCCGTTCACTATTTAATGGGTTGGGTTGGGTTTGGGTTTAGGTAAACCCGGCCCGTGGGTACCCGCCCACCCATACAATTAATTTTTTCGGTATATTTAATATTTTAAACAACTAATATTATTTATGTTTGTGGAGATATGTCTAATTTTTTCTTTTTAATTGTGTAGAATGAAGTTGATGTTATGGAGTGGAGAGTAAAGAAACTTAATTGAAAGGAAGAAGCTTTCAATTAAACATGTTATTTATGAAAATTTTGTGATTTGCTTCAATTTTTTTGAGTTTTCTAGATTGGTGTTGAACAATTTGTATAGTTAATTTGTGATTTGCTTGAATTTTCTAGAATGGTGTTTTATATATGGATAATTTGTATTGAGAGATTGATATTTGACTTTAATTTTGATAAGAACTTGTAATTGTAAATTTTTTACGACAAAACCCGTGGGTACCCATGAACCCGCGGGTACCCAACGGGTTGGGTTGGGTTTGAGTTTTTCAAACCCAGTGGGTTTTACCCCGGGTTTTTTTCAAAGATAAACCCATGGGTTTGGGTTTGGGTTTGGCAAAACCCGACCCAACCCGACCCATTGCCATCCCTAGGAGGGGATTATCAGTTTTTGTCTTGGCAGGCCAGGTGATCTCAAGGACTGTAAAGGGGAAAGTTCACTGGAGGAATACCTGGCAACAACTGGAGAGAGTTTGACCAAAGTCAGTAGGGGTCTGTCTCTTGACTGCTGCTTTTGTTGGCATGGCTTTCACCATTCAATTCATTCGAGAATTCACAAGATTGGGCTTAAATAGAGCTGTCGGCGGTGTCTTGGCTCTAGCATTCCCGGGAGCTAAGCCCTGTGGTCACGTCAATCGTGGTTGCTGGACGAATGGGTAGTGCATTTGCTGCAGAGTGCTTGGAGCGACACTCTGAGGGTGCTTGGAGCGAACCCAATTGATTATTTAGTAACCCCTCGAGTAATTGCTTCGTGTATTACTCTACCATTTCTGACTCTGATGTGTTTCACCGTGGGGATGGCATCCAGTGCCCTGTTAGCTGATGCTGTTTATGGGGTCAGCATTAACATTATAATGGATTCAGCTCATAGAGCACTTAGATCGTGGGACTTAATAAGTGCAATGATCAAGTCCATGTGTTTTGGTGGTATCATTTCTACTATGAACTGTGCATGGGGCATAAATACGATTGGAGGTGCCAAAGGTATGGGAGAGTCGACAACTTCAGCTGTCGTCATCTCTCTCGTGGGTATCTTTGTTGCTGATTTTCTGCTCTCTTCATGTTTCTTCCAAGGAGCTGGAGATTCTCTAAAGAGGTTATAGTTCTCTATCTATTCTTTGTCATTGTAGAGAAGAACTTACTGGTTTTCACTTTTTACCTTTTAGTGTACCCAAATAGTCAAAATGCTAGAAGCAGCCTCTGCCCAGTCTTCTGTATGAAAAGTTCTTAATTATTAGATGCACAATTAGCTTTGACAATTCATACTGAATGTTCATGGCTGGTTATTTAATCATCTTTTAAACTTGCCAGCTGTTTATCAAACTTTCAGAGAACAATTCGAGTCTCTCCAAGTAGCTTGCCATGTAAGGAAATATGCTCTGATGAGTTGGAGAAAAGAATTATAGAATCACATTGATTGCCACGAAGGTATGCGTATAATAAACAGATTGCATACCATAAAATGTGTTAATTCTCTTTACTAATATGGCACCACGCAATTTCCAAGAACCAAACGACACTGAATTCATGCATTTATTGTGCCCCTTCCAAATTCCCAAGTGCTTCTTATCATTCTTGTTTCTCGCCTTAATACCATGATGTCTAGTGTTCAATTGCCAAATGAAAAGCTGAGATATATTCACAGAGCTCTTTGCAAAATTATGGAAAAGAACCACAATATAGCGTGTGCGCAACTCTGGTTTGTTATCCTCATTGCCTTCTCCTTGGTCTTCTTCATTTCTCACGACACCATTGATTATAACTCCGCTTTCACTGTCGAAAGGAACGGCAAGCTGGCCGTTTTCTTCACCAGCTTGTTCGACCCAAATCCTCCTCTACTCACCGAATCTCCCAGTGAGACCAATGGAAGTGATAGGGATGTCAGTGGAGACACTTGCTCTGGCCGTTATATCTATGTTCATGATCTTCCAAGTCGTTTCAACGATGATGTGATCGAGAACTGTAGTTATTCGCTGGTGAAATGGTTCGACATGTGCCAATCTCTGACAAACCTTGGACTTGGCACTCAAGTCAGGGACCCTGGTAAGGTTTTAGTGGAGAATAGCTGGTATGCAACCAATCAGTTCACTCTTGCAGTCATTTTCCGTCACAGGATGAAGGGCTATGAGTGTTTAACCAATGATTCATCGTTAGCCTCGGCAATTTTTGTGCCGTTTTATGCTGGTTTCGATATTGGCAGGCACTTATGGGGTTATAATACTACTGCAAGGGATGCTCTGGGTGTTGAGCTGGTGAGCTGGCTCAAAAACCAGCCTGAATGGACGAAGAGAGGTTTATGGGGAAGAGACCATTTCTTAATTTCAGGAAGAATTGCTTGGGACCTTCGAAGATCAGACGATGATGACTCACACTGGGGTGGCAAGCTGATGCAGCTTCCCGAATCAATGAACATGACAATGCTTTCAATCGAGACAACTTCGTGGAGCAATGAGTTTGCAATTCCATACCCCACTTACTTCCATCCTTCTGCAGCAAAACAAGTGCAGCAATGGCAGAAAAGAATGAAAAGACACAAAAGGCCATACCTTTTCTCTTTCGTTGGGGCGCCACGAGCCAACATGACAGAGTCCATCCGCGGAGAGCTCATAAATCAGTGCTTGGGTTCAAGAAAGAAATGCAAACTTCTTAATTGTCACTCTGGCAGCCAATGTGATAGTCCGGTTGAGGTGATGAGAGTTTTCCAGAACTCGGTGTTCTGTCTGCAGCCTGCAGGCGATTCATATACTAGAAGGTCGACTTTCGATTCTATACTGGCAGGGTGTATCCCTGTGTTCTTCCATCCCTTTTCGGCTTATGGCCAGTACATATGGCACCTACCAAGGAACTACTCATCGTATTCTGTTTACATACCAGAAGAGATGGTAAGAGAAGCGAGAGTCAGCATCAGAAAGCGGCTGCTTCAAGTCCCAACGGCAGAAATAGCGTCCATGAGACAGGAAGTAATAAAGTTGATCCCAAAGGTGATTTATCGGGATCCAAGATCGAAATTGAAGGACTTTGAAGATGCATTCGATATAGCAGTGAAGGGAATGTTGGAAAGAGTTGGCAAGGTTAGTAGACAGATTGAGGAAGGGAAAGATCCAGGGATTGGATTTGCAGAACCAGGTAGCTGGAAGTTGAAAATGGATGGTATTGGGAGAGATCATGAGTGGGATTCATTCTTGTAATATTTTTGAATTTTAAGATAAGAGCTATCTATATTAGGGGAATATATTCATTCATTATCCTTAGCAAAGTACGAGTGCCAAAATGCGCCAAAAAAAGAGAGGAAGATTTGTGTCATTCCTCGGATCAACAATGAAAGAATAGTTACAGCAGCAGTTTAAATGCTGCAGCTTTAGGCTTCTTCAAGTCGAGATCCTCAGCAGACAGCAGTGAAGAAGAATTCATATATCTAACGTTCCCAGCTTGGAACATACAAACTTCAATTGACGCCGACTCAACCTCTTTGCATATAATTTAGCCAGCGCTAGCTCATTTTCTGAGCTCAGGTGTGAGAAGGAAACCAACTTGACCTGCAAGTATTCTCGATTTCGATATGTTTTGTGAGCTCGTGGGTTATTGCATTTTCTAGTGTGTGTAGTGTTGATATAGTACATCATAGAGGCGACTGCTAAATTGGTTCTTTATGATTGATGTTCATCTCCTGCAACAATCTGAAACTTCATGTGACAGTTGTGCCAATGTATGGAATTGGAATCCATTCTGATTATATATACAAAAAAAAAAAAAAAAAAAAAGAGTGGAATCCGTTCTTCTGATATCTGAAAAACAAAGAACCGTTAAATGTTTCTGAAAGTACAAAACAAAACCCATGTTGTCTTGCTGTGGATATAAACTATTTTGATATCTGTAAAATCGTTTATTTTTTATAGGGGTAAGTGAAATACAGTAGAACAAAACTGCATATCTCAATTACACGAGTAATCTTTAACGTAATAAGTTTCAACAACACAAAGAGCAACAAAGGCTGTGGTTGAATCGTAACTATAAGCAACTATAGGAAGCATATCATGGTGGCATATACAACCGAGCGACATAAAGATGAGGATAGTATGAGCATGTGCAAAAACCCTCGAGAACCAGCCCTCCTTAGCCAGCCAAGCCTAACAACCAGTCACCACCAGCTTCACTTTTAAATGCCAGACAGAAATTGGAAGGGAGACACGAATGTCTCTGTGCACTGTCAACCATAACACCTTACAAGGTAGAAGAGCTTCCGGACCTATGCACTTTATCTTCTTGAGGATTCAAAGATGGAGATGAAACGGCAGCATGATACCCAGAAGATACAAGTTGTGCTAGTGCTGGAATCGCACCACCTGGGAGTTTTCCCCGAATAAAGGTAACTCTTGTTAACATTCAGGCCAGATTTCTGGCAAGTTTTTTATGTGATGAATCACTATATCAAGACACTAGACCACAAATTTCCCGAAAATATACATACTAATGACCACTATGGATGCTGGAGCACGTAAATGAACTTTGAACAACCATAATTCCCATGTTTAGAGCAATGAATTGTAAACCGTCATGCAGACACTTAACTCATTCATTCAGGTTAAGTATCAAACAGCTTCAACTAAGTGGATCAGCATTACATGGAGGAAAGCAGAGAATTGACACCACTATGAGTAATAGAATTCAGAACCCAGTAAGAGATTGAATTTCTTTTTCTTTTCTTTATTTTCCATGGCCAAGGAGATACTGCTTGGAGCAAAGTGATAGAAGTACAAAGACTTAAAGAAAGCTCGAAGTGTGACCAGTTCAATGTAAAGGTCACAGCTAGGGATCAGATGAAACATGGAAACACTAGTTAAATCTAAGCAACAATCTTTCTTGGTCAAGAAATCTACGCAAAATTTTAAGGGGAGCATTGCTGACCTGCAAATCCAGCACATGCCGAAGCGAATACGATCACTGGAGGTGCCTGCATATTAAAAGAAATGTACTTTTTCAAGTAGGAACTACGAACAGGTGAAGAAGACTCCGAACAAATAAGCCTCAGTCCTAAGCATGTAACAAGGGATAATATGTCATCAGAACAACCACAACTAAACTAGACCTAGTTAGACCAACTGCAGATCCAGAACAGTTTAGGAGGGAAAAAGTATAGATCCACTGCTCAAGGCTTCAACACAATCACCAGGGATTGGAGCCAAAATTCAGCTTCACAACTACGTACGTTGGAGAAATATGCCGCTCACACATATATAAATGTACCTTGCAACTGAAGGTATTCCAGAATTGCAGCAGAATCAAAGAGAATGAAAGAAGTAGTCTGAACTTACACCAACAAAGAAATGCACCCACATTGGCCCTTTTTATGTACTTCTGAACTATCGGCATCACTGCATCACAAATTCTATAGAGTTAAACAGTTAGTGAGGATTCGTCGATCCTTTGACCGACGAGAACGTAACAAATCTTCTTTTCATACCATGATTAAACCCATAGAATGCACCGGCTGTACCACCAACAGCAGTTCCAATCTGAACCAAAACAACAAAAGGATACTATTAGCCATAAAAGATGTTAAAATCTTCATGAACGAATTATGAATAGAATACCAATTGGCATAACACACGAAAACCCCATTCTCACACAAGTGTTGCATTTATATCAATAAGCTAAACTTCCGTCAAGTGATAAACAGCCAATTCATGGGGAATATAATAGGTGTATGCTCACGATCTAGAATTGGCGCGAATTCGGATAGTTCAGAGTCTCCAGAAACCGCAAGATACAAAGATCAGTACTCGCCACTCACCTTTCATCATCCAGAGAGATAACAAAGCAGGGGAATCCTGGAAAAGCCAAACAGAAAAGGTGAACAAACCGAAAATTTACCATGGAGAAACTGTCTCTGAGCAGTGGTCGATTCGTCCAACCGCTAGTTGCCTGCAAAAATTGGATCGTCTTCACCATGATCAAATGGGAAAAGAAAATTAAATAAGAAACGGAAGGAAGAGAAAGTTTCAGAACCGGGCCGAAAGACCACAAAGGAAGTATCGACTCACCGCTTCTTTGGTAAGAGGGCCGGCGCAGTGATGGCAGCGCAACCGTTTGAGAATCTCCGATCTCGAATCCGCCATTACGGACCGTCGTCTGGGTCTGGGCTTCCTCAGTAAACCTCTCAGTCTGTGAAACCCCCAAAACCCTTTTCCTAGTTAAGATGAGCTAAACGATGACGTACCACCTGATTAGTTTGGCGCGACACGTGGATGATGGGAAGGCCTTTTCCTTTTTATTATTATTTATATTTATTCCGGCGATTGCCTCCACCTTCAGGCCCGCCGCCATCCATTTGCCTTTCTTCTTGCCGTACAAAGAACAATTTCAGATATAATCTGAACGTCTATACATATCCCACCCGCGCCCACCATTGATCCGAGAGCTCGAAGGTTTATTTGATCCTGAATCGGTGAAGAAATGGGGATTCTGTCGGATATGCGAAGCTACTGCGCACAGCAATCCACGGAAAGTCATCGTCATCGCAGTGAAGGCGATGCCGTCAACAAGATAAATTCTTTCGCGATTGCTTCTCCGGAAGAGAAACGCAGCAGAGCTTTTGCCCGAGGTTTAAAGCTCGTTTCCACCTTCTCGTCCTCTTCCATCCGGTTTGAAGCTCGTTTTGCTCTTTATTTCTTCTCCCTAATTCTGATCTCTCGTGTCTCTCTCTGTTCCTCGTGGTGCAGAAAGCGTTGTTGCAGGATTTAAAGCAGCTGCAATCGCGGCCGTACTCAGCGCGGTGCCTGTGGTAAGTTTTGATGATGCCCTTGTGGATTTCACCCCAGAATAGTTGTAGCCTTGTAGGATTGAACACAAATTTGCCCTGTTGTTCCTTATATCCGACTCTTGAATGTATGAGTTGCTTGCTCCTGATGTTGAAGCTTTAAGTGATCTGCGGGATTTGGGTTTTGAATGGTGTCATGGCCTCTTGGGTGAGCTGGTCATGGGGATCAAGCAGTGTTAATTTTGTGACAGTTGAGTTCATTCTGCCGCCCTAGTTGATGGCGTGAGAAATAAGAGAGAGATAGATATGTGTACATGTTCATCATGATAGAGTCATAAAGGTTTTCGAATCTGAGGTGCCATGTAAAGTAGATACATGTTATCTAGTCCACCACACGAGAGTAGCAGAGATGGCAATTCTCTTTCATGCTTCTTCACCTTTCTTGCATATGTGCAGGTAGTAGCTTGTCGCAAGATTCCGTGGGCGAAGAGGAACCTAAATCACACGGCTCAAGCGCTCATCATATCCTCTGGTATGACTTGAACAAACATACACCATACCTGGTTCCTTGTTAGTCTGTAAATAGAAATGTTAGCTAGTGAAAGCATGTCATTGCTCTATCCGCCAGTATTCCGCACAAACCCACCTGCTTTAACTGAACTAAAGATATGGTGGAATCTCACTCTAGCTCCCAGATATCTTGTCACTAGGTAGTTACATTGAAAGAACTTCGAGTGTCTTTGATAATTGCACTTTGCGAGCCTAAGTTATTCTTGAAACCACACACATCACCTGGTTTGAACAATGTCACAAAGATGATTACCCTAATGCACAACCACGGGGTAAACTGCACATAAACCAGTTCTTTATTTGGCTGTAACTACAAATGTTTGCTAGTGAATGCACATCTTTGCTCTATCCCGTCTTTTGGCACATATCCATGTCATTTGAGGTCTTGAGTCTCAGTCCCAGCCTCTATTGCATCTGCAGATTATGTATGGCTACAAGGAAACATTAGTTTCCAAAATCCCTGGCTTAAGGGTTGTACTTGACTTTTGGTGTTTTCTTTCATGTACTCACACAATAGCTTGTGGTTGTTATAAATAATTTCTAACAGAGATGGGAAGAAGCAACACAATAGAAACAAGAAGTAGATGAGAAATAGTAACACTGTTTTTATTCCATACTCTCATACACGTATTATACATTCCAAAGATAGAATAAATCTAGAGAAATGAGGAAGAAGTGAACTTATATGTGTTTTCAGCCATAAGTACGCCTTTTATAGTGTAGAGTAGGTAGTTGTTGGGGAGCATAACAACTCTCACCCAATCCAACCCATACTTCCATCATCAAAGCTGACTTGTATAATGGGCATCCTAAAGTACATGTACATGTGTTTATAATAGTGGTGTTATTTCATATTTGTTACCAGCATCCATTTCTGCCTTCTTCATTACTGCTGACAAGGCTACTTTGGAGAGCGCAAGAAGCAACAGTTACCATGACAAAACAGCTTGAGAAGGTGAACTTACGGCTTTGCGGCAGATAGTCCTTTGTAGTTGTGAAGACAATATTTTTCCTTTCTTGTCTTGGAAGTTGAAGACTCTACAACTCATCCAATTTTTGCCATGTTTCTGTAAAATAATAAAACCCGGACTTTTTTCTGTAATTTGGCATTTCAATGGCTTCATTGTAGCAATTGATGTTACTTCCACACGTTCAGTGTAGCATGTACCTATTTTGCGAAAATTACGAAACATAATTAAAAAAGTTAATTCATTTTTCAATTAAATGAGTAACGAATCTATGGATAAATAGAAAAGCACATTTCGAATCGTAACTAAATCTTCAATTTTTTTGTTTTGTATAGTCGAGATTGAAGCAAAATAAGTATTAAACGATGACTTTGGTTTACTATAGACATTGGCTTCTTGTTCTAGCTCGGTAGAAATAAAATGCTTTTCCTAAAGATTCTCTCACCTAGAAATAGAAAACGAAGTAACTAGAAAGATTCTATTAAAAAATTTCTCCTCTCCCTTCGAGAACCGTATATGAGAATTTATTCTCATATCGCTCAATCAGAAAGACCCAAATATTAGTTGAAACGACATATGTGGAATAGAAACTTCATTCAAGATGTCCACAAGTAAAGAAAATTCCGAAAACTTTTCTTTGCGGTTATAATGCCAAAATATCAAGTTGGCTCATTAATTTTGTGATGTTGATCATTATAAGCCTCTTGAATCTTCTAGTTACCCATTTTTTGCTTGCTTTTCTATTTGTATGAAAAGTGTAAGTTGCCTTACCCTCGTTTTTGTTATTATGATAAAATTTTTCTGGTTAGGATCCTATAAATTAATTAAACTCGCATATTCATACTAGAACCACGATGATTGACATGTTGGTCGGATTTGATTATTTGATTAAGCATTAATTTAATTCACTGATTCCTTTTCAAGTTATTGTTATTTTTAATAGGAAACCTTAATTGTATGGTGTGATAGGATTTTAATTTGTATTAGTGTTTGAAGCATTATTATAGTGAGACAAAGTTGGAGTACGAAGTCACGCGAATTGAAACTAGGGCTGGGAAATGGTGCGGTCTGGTTCAGACCAGACCATATATATGGTCTATGGTCCAGATCGAGAGACAGAAGTATAGACCACAGATCAGACCACAGACTATACGGTCCCGTCCAGACCACGCCTGTGCGGTCTGGTCCAGATAGACTACACTCAACGAAAAATGAATAATTTGTTTAGTCAACCACACAAAAAATTGAACCAATAACCAAGAAAAATAATTGTTATTTGCCTTAAAACATTAATCCTAACATGCATGAATAATTTTGATACCTAAATCTTAGTACATAACAAAGATACAAAGTAAAAGCATCCCAACTTGCGCCATAACGTCATAAACATGTGGTTGTGAATGAAGGAGGACGAGATTCACAAACTAAGGTTGAAACTTGGGTGTCGTTGTTGGAGTTGGGAGAGTGCTCGAATGAGCTGTTAACACGTATTGGCAAGTCGGTTGGATCCACGATTTGGTCCGGTAAACCGCGGTCTAGATCAGACCAGACCAAGAGATCAAAACATAAAATAATACAAACCATGGACCAGACCAGACCATACTTAACGGTCTACGATCCGGACCAATCTGTATAGTACGATTTGGACCATGGTTTTTCTAACGGTCTGATCTATTTTTCCAGCCTAATTGAAACCTAAATCCTTAAAAAGCAACCAATATAGGTAAAATGTATGATCATTGAGAAATATAATAGTGTTATGTGTTTTCCCACTCTCATCGATGGGCGCCGCTCTATTCCCGTTAAAAGTGCAAAGAAGAAGGAAATGATTGTCCGGCTGTGCTGCCGACGCCTTTCCCAATTGCGTTTAGCCCACTTCGTATCAACTACAAAGGGCAAAGCTCAAGATACCATAGTTCAAGATAGGGTGCATAACCTTAGGCAACATAACTTTAGGCAGTCAAATCTGAACTCTTATTTTAAGTGGATGCAGATCTAAGGGTGGAGAATTAAAAGAATTTATTTTCCCTAGTTTTCTTGATTAGATCATATCTTCTTCATTCAAACTCGGATTTCAATTTTATTTTTGCACAGATGGGATGAGTTTGTTGTGCTCTACGGAATGATATCCATTTTCAATATTTTTTGAGAAAAAAATTGCATACCTCTCGTTACCAACTCCATACTATATGATATCTCTTTCATTTTTTAGTCGTTTTCGAAATTTTTTGCACAGAAGAAACGATTTAATCATGATCTATTGGATTTCAAATTTTTCTGGGTGAAAAAGTTTCATACCATACTATACCACCCTGGTATGTGGTGGTATTTTTCATACCATATGGTATGTTGTTATTTAATACCAGTCAATACCATATGGTACATACTGGTAATAACTAGCAAATTTTTTTTGTTCCAAAAAATATCAAAGTGGATATCACTTTGAAGAGCACAATTAATCTGATCAAACTGTGCAAAAAAAAATTCCAAGTTAAAACGAGTGAGAAATCGTCTGCTAAAAGTTAAGGGAAGGAAAATTAAAGATTTTTCGAGGATAGAGAAGGAGGCGCTGATGTGGCAGATTCTTATTAGGTTATGCATGGGGTTATAGCACCACAAGGTTACTCATCGGATTTGCTCCCAGATACCGTGCATAATTATTGGTAACTAAATCTGAGCCCTTTATTCAGTAAATCCATATTAATGGTGGAGAATTAAAAATATTTTTATTTTTCCCTTGTTTTATTAAACGACTCATATCTTCTTCGTTTTAACTCGAATTTCAATTTTTGCACAGATATAACGAGTACGTTGCGCTCTACAAAATGAGACGCATTTTCAATATTTTTTTAGAAATTGTTTTTCATGCCTCTCAGTACCAACTGCATACCATATGGTATCTTCTTCGTTTTAATTCGTTTTTGAAAATTTTTGCACAGAAGGAAAGAGTTCATCATGAGCTATTGGATCTACAAATTTCTGGATGAACAAAATACAAGACCAAAAAATATCACACAATACCACCCTGGTACGGGGTGGTATTTTGTGGTACACAATATTAAAAGTCGTAAATAACAGTTAATATACTTCTACTATCATGTATTCAACCATCCTACAGTCTTGGTTTGTTCATACCACCATGGTATGCTTTTCATATCATATCTATGCTCCTATTTCAGTCCCATATGGTATAGACTGGTAAAAAATGGCTCAATTTTTTTTGTTCCAAAAATATATCAAAGTGGATATCATTTTGAAGAGAACAATTAATCTAATCTAACTGTGCAAAAAAAAATTCGACTTAAAACGAGTGAGAAATCGTCCGTTAAAGATTAGGGGGGGAGGGGGGAATTAAAGGCTTTTCAAGAGAGAAAAGGGGCGCTGAAGTGGCAGATTCTGATTAAGTTATGCATAGTTATTGACCACAAGGTTATTGACTAGATTCGCTCACAACTACCAAGACTCGTCCAACGCAAGTTTAAACCGCCCAAGTTAGCGACCATATCTCATCCGCCCGTTCCAGTGCCGACAGCGCCGCCCATGCCTTTGGACTTCGCGGCCCACGTCACTATCTTTCATCCAACAAAGGTATTCTAAAAAGCCCACCCTATGATCCTGTGTCGAATTTCTATTTAACGCCCTAATATTTTAATTTTCCGCCCTAAACTTACCCAAAAAAACAATTTTACCCCCAACTCATTCCTAATCCCTAGAAAATCATAAATATTTTTCGCCCTAGACTAAACTTGCTCTGCTGCTTTGTGAATTCCGGCCTCTCTACATCCGTCGCCGCCGCCACCTCTCGCCACCACAACAAATCCCACGTTGTAGCTCAATTCTCCCCCACGTTGTAGCTTAATTCTCAGCCACAGCAAATCTTCCAAGCTCATTCTCGCCGGCGCGGCTCCTTTTAGAATTCACCGCGAAAGAAGGGTTCCTCCTGAACCTCACCATCTCATTCCTGCTTGCATAGCTGATTTGGGCCTAATTGCACATATTTTGCCCCCGGTTTGCTTAGATGTTTGTGCCAAATTCGCTCATTAAAGGTTGGTTTTACGCGAGGTTCTTCATGTTTGAGTGTTTTTCAGGATTTAACAGGTGGAACCAGCCTCGCAGTCGAAGGTTTGGCGAAACGGATCGAAAATCAGGAGAAGAGGTGAAAAAGCGCAAGTTCACGGCTAAAGGCAGGAGTTCACGGTCGTGCAAGACCGTGAAGAAGGGGAATTGACCGTGAAGAGCAAGGAGTCCAGAGCCAAGTTCCAGGTTACTAACGCAAGGTGAGTTCACGGTCACTAAGACCGTGAACACAAGCAGTTGTCCGTGAGCTGCCGTGATCGATGAGGAGCGTTTTGGCGCAAGGCGTGAGTTCATGGACGCATTTGATGGTTCACGACCGTGAACTCAGGCCTGTTAACTCAGCTCTTCTCGGGTTTAAAAGATGAGCTGCAAGGAGGAGAGAGGGGGGAGCCACTTTTGTGAGAGACGCACCTTCTTCTGCATTTTAGTGAGAGAAACAGAACCAAAGAGAAGAAGAGTTAGGGCTTGGCTTTGAAGGAGATTTTGGGAAGATTTCCCCAAGGAAATCCCAGCTCAAGGGTCAAGAAGAGAGGAGGCATCTCCAAAAGATGGTTCCCACCTTTTCCCCTTTGTTCTTCCCACTTCTTCCATGGAGTAGTCCTCCTTTCACTTGGGTGTAGTGAAACCCTAAACCTACCATGTAAGTTTCTTGTATGTGGTTTGGATGATTGATATTGCGTATTGTTCAATTTTATGTTTTGAGGTATTTTTCACCATGATTTTGCATGCTTGTGCTTAGCAACGTAGGGGTTGTGCATATTTTGTGCTTAGCATCCTAGGGATTGTACATAATTGTGATTAGCATCCCTAAATTTGTGCATTTAGGTGCTAGTATTCTAATTTGCCAACTTAGCCTAATTTAGCGAGGAAAATCCCCCCTTTTTAAGGGAGATTCAATCGAGTTGGTTTTCCTTCCGCTTTCCAAGCCACCTAAACAAGGTTGAGTTAGGGCAATCCTCAATATTGAGTGAGGAAGTAAGCCGATTACCGATTGTCCAAACCGAGAGGGTCGAGTGACGCGACCTTTCATCCTCACCTCGGTTTAGCAATCGAGACTGTGGTCTCCGACCACATACGCTTTCCTCTGTGGTTCATGATTAACGTGCCCAAGGCAATCGTTCCAACCCACGTAGCATGGTATTGGTT